CGGCATAAACACAGTTTAACAGAAACAAGGGAGACAAAATGTCAATAGCTTCTGACTACTCGCGTAAGTAGCAACTGATTGTAAATAAAATCTTACTGAATTTGTCCTTGGACGTGCAATGGCACCGTCATCACAGAGCGCTCGGAAATTATGGGTTCGTTTAGTATTGGATATTGGTGCTGGGTCTGTTGGACTGCGCGGACTGGCCGCTGTCCTTGTTTCAGGGTTACATTGCCTCCCTCCCTCTTTCCTAAGACTACGTATGTCCGCATTTCACAATCCGTGTCCCTCTTTTTCAGATCAGTCTTCGCAATGGTTTTAATAGATCGTCTTAAAGTTTGCCTTCGGTGGCTGACAGACCGTCCTGTAAGCGATCCGTCATGCTCGCCCAACCCACTTCGACAGAAATTTTTTGTGACTGCCTTTCGATGGACGGATGGATGAATGAACCTTCCAAGCATTCAGCCCACCTTTCTATACAAGAGAAACACTTCTGTTTGCAAATGCGGCTGGTTTGCTTATACCCATCATAAGGTTAAGAAAAGTAACTCCTAAATATAACCAAAACAGTGGTGCCCAGTTGGCATGCTCTTTAGACACGGCTACATAACGAACTTCAGGACGCCGATTTGAGCCGAAATACCTCATTCTACGCACAGCGTTTGCGATAATGACAGGTATGCCAGTAGCACTGAAATTCCACGTTCATGAGCTCAAGGATAACATCGAGGCAAGCTCCATTCGGAATACAATTTTAGCGCAATTAGTCGCGTTACGTGATCAATCGCCATTCATTCCCTGACAATTTTCACTAATTCTCAATTGACTATACTGATGCCTTTGTTGTCACTCGTGAAGGCTGCTTTGTCATATGTTATCGTCTGTTGAACCCTTTCCGCCTACGTCAGAGTTTGGTGAAGTTTTAGCAAATTCGGCCCGATTTTTGGGTTTATGTTGACACAGTGGTCGGTCTGATTACAATATTAGATTCATACTCCCATAGTTTGCGCCATTCCACCCCAGAAGTGTTGTTACCAATAACTGAAATCAGACTTTGGAAATCCGATGGGATGCGCTATACGTACGACGTACCATCAATGCGCACCAACCATTTCCTGTGACTTATTATGCCTATTCGAGCTCGAAAATTCCCTCCAAAACTTAGCGTCCCATTTAGTTATAGTCATACCGGTTATATTGCGCTGACATGATCTTGCCGCACTGGCCAGCGTTAAAGCACACTTAATTATGACCGCAACTTTGTGATGCGGATTCTAGTTATGTGATTGGGTGTCGTTCCTTAAATTAACCTTTCCCACCTGTTTTCATTCCAGCATTCCGGTGAATTTGCTTCCCATCTTGTCGCTAAGTTTGCATTCTGTTTGCTTCGTCCGAAAACTGACTCTTTTTACGTGAGTCTAATAGATGATCTGCATAACAAGCTCAATAGCCATGCTCACAGCTGTGGATAAGTCGTTCAGGGTTCAAAATTCGTCTATATGTCCCGGAATTACAATCATCCCATACTAGATACACCGTTCCCACTGATTTCAAGCAAAGCTGTTTGACTCAGCCCAAGTGCTTTTTAGGCTCACAGCAGAATATAATCGAAAGCGACTCTGCTGTTCATATATTCCATTTTAAACGCAATGGTTTTACTAGTTTTAATCATACCAGTCACATCCCGCTGGCACGTTATTAGAGCACGGCGCAGCATCATAAGAGGCCTTATCTTGCACTAACTGTAGCTTGCAAACAATGGCTTCTATCTGTCAATTCGGGTAATCTACCTTCCTTTAAGTAAGCAATTTCACAGTTCCGGCCCTCCGTATATCAACTTTTCGTCTCCTCCCTGGCCAAATGGGTTGGTAACATGAGATACGAACTTTTCATTTACAAACGGCTCTTGCATAGACCGTGTCTTATATCCCGCTTATACAAACTGCTGTGGCAAGTTAAACAAGTCCCCCGCTGCTGCTTCATCTGCCATTACTAGCAGAATTATCCCATTATACTCTGTGCTTACGTCAGAGAAGAGGAACTGCTGATAATTATTAAACTGTGATAATGTGTTATGAAAGGTATTACGGGCCGGTTCTCTTCTTTGCAACATCATTTAAGGTTCTGGGAACGGTGTTCCCAGAGGGAGTTTCACAGGATGTAGAACTATTATATGCCGCAAAAATATATGCAGGTTCGGCGAAGTCCACAGGTTACGCTACACTTCCCAGAGTTGCGTTCGTAAATACTCTTTCCTCATTGGACCCCTCCGACTAAGATTACATTTGAGGCGAATACAGTATGCTTCGATAGTATTATCATGCCTGTAAATCACCGGATGCACAAGACGATGCGAATGGTTAGCCTAAGTGTTCGTGAAACCCTCTGCTGTGAACAAAACATAAGTATTCCATTCATCAACACGGTAATAGCTAATGTGGCGGTAAAGGCCTGCAATGCTCAATGCAGAAAGAGGCACGTGCAATATGGTTAACCTTACTCTATTATGCGAATCTGCACCGCCATTGTGAACGCTACAAAAATAACATAAGCAAAAAATACCCTTACTTCTGTGCAAGCTCCACATTATGAACCGTCGATGACCTTCATTCCACACTTTATCCCAAGAAATGCTGGAGTACGCAATACTATCGAGCAGCAGGTGGTTTGAATCAGGGATACGCCGTGTAGGAATGATAGATGGCATCGTGTGCATATCGCATTTCGAAAGCAATTTTTTAGCAAAGCGCTATTGATATTTTGACTGATTTCCCTGGTCGGGCGGTAGTATCCCCTTCTTGTCTATCTATCTATCTCTCTGAGTGCACAAAGGCCTTGATAAGATACTGACTTTGAAGAGAAATTGATTATGACCTATGTGGTTCTACGATAACGCCCGAGTGTTTCTGTGTTTAGGTACATACTTGGATACCATGGTTATATGTTATTTATCGCCCTTAACTAATAATAATAATAATAATAACAGCAATGACGCTGAGTACCAGTTTACATACATTACCAAATAATATACATGCAGAATGGTATTACCGACAAAGACAAGGGAGACTGGAATGGCTACTTCTGGCTAATAAGCCATCGTTAGCCAGTCATACTCAGCCTCGAAGTGTGGAGCATGCAAAGCTCTGACTCACGACCTGTTATTGAGAAGTCCACGCCTCTAAGCACTAGGCCACGTGGCCTTTGCCCTCTGGGTTCCGATCGGGAATATAAAATGGCAGAGGGGCGCTCACCAATCGTTCTTATGGGACTCATCCGTTCCGTTGTGCCTTATTCATTCTCTCTTGTGCCCAAACAGCAGCCGCACAACAGCGCATGATATAGGCAGTATGTTATAACCGACAAAGACAAGGAAAACTCGCGTGTCCCACACATTGGGGTTAGGTATAACTGGCTGACGACGGTTAAAAAACCACAATGGCCATTCCAATCTCCCTTGCCTTTGTCAGACACGCAGTCAAACGAAGGGTGGTGGGATGAAGAGCTGTTTGCCACAGATTTCAGTAGTTATGTGCTGGGTGACATTTTGCATATTCGTCAGGGGTCCACTCGAACTGAAACCGGCTAGAGGGTAGGGTCGGGGTATTCTGTCACATCGGAAAGTGAATAAAGTGGCTTCTGAACCAAATGTTTTGGACGTTGTTTAGAAGGCAGAGCGCGAATAATAGTTCTTTTCGATAAAAAAAAAACTAATTTTTCGCATCATTTGTGTGTTTGTGGGTAACGTATTCCAAATAGAGCTAGAAAAGATTCTATGGTATTTGACTGTGCGCGACCAACGAAGAACCAAATAGGCATCACAGTGGCCACTGCGTAGGGGGTGGTCAGGATGCTTCAACACAGTAAAAGGTGTAACATCTGACCTCTCCGCGGTTAGTCAGGTCACCGACTCACCTGTACGGTCGTAGGATTCCTGACCTATTTGTCCTTTCTATACTCATCTTCACCCTTTTCGAACAACATTCAAATCAGTACATGTAATATGCATCACCAAATATAATAATCTATACATACGACAAAGGAAGTGGTAGAATGATAAGTGTTTTATACAAAAACTAGGCGACTAATCTCACATGTGCAGTCGGAGTAGGACAAACAGATGGAAGCTGCATTGTCTTCATAGCTGTTCAGAGATGGTGAAGTCGGAATTCGAGGAGAGTAGGTCAAACTATTTGTATTAATGCATTTGAAAACAAAAAGAATACAGATCCACACCGGATTCCTCTACGGCTCAATTCAGCCACTCACATCTATTTAGACAAAAGACCCCTATTCCTTCATTTCTCTCCGTCACACATGATCGATTCTATAAAGAGAATCACATTTCCAGGTCCAGTTTCCGCGTTTACATTGCAGCATTTACTCTGCTTTTCACAGCATCCTACTTTGAACCGTTATTGTTTGTTAATTCTGTTCTTGGTCTTAGCCAATTTTAAACTATAAATTTTTGCATGTTCTGTGGTTGACTGATATGCCAATTCTCTTTATCTCACTAACATACTTCAGCCTTTAATGACGGCGGTTGACTTGTCGCTACTAACTGCGAGGATTTTAACAGAACTACAGAAATATATGCCACGGCCCACTCACTTGCTGCATTTAATATGTCTCTCCTGGTCAGCACTCGTTGCTTAGTCTGTGATCAAACCCCTGAAGAGGGAAGGAAAAAATTGTCCTGATTATAACAACAATTGGTTACTTAAGAGCTTCCTACATACGCACATGAGTTAGATTTTAATAACGTTGACATTTTTCGGAATTTGCTACTTGCTTCCCTTATTGGCACTGTTGGGGAGGTATATTCTCCTGCCTGGTTTCAAAACTCTTGGAGTTATTAAAGGTAATGCAGAAGAAAACACAGGGGGACGGAATATTTCGTTCTTGTCATTTGACTGGAACGTGGAAATGTCTTGTTATAATGCCCCAAAGAGAAGGGTGTGATTGTGTCTAGAATTTACTATTTCACGGGCACGTGCGTCGTGATGGTAGGTTTCGCCGTTGCTGCGTCTTACTCATGTTACGAAGGCTTCGAAGTTTTTGAAGAACTTTGTCCCCCTTTTCGATCGCGTCCTCGTACAGCGTTTCGAGGCCGAAGTTACCACCAAAGGTGGTATCATGATCCCAGAGAAAGCCAAGGGTAAGGTTCTCGAAGCCACCGTTGTTGCCGCCGGTCCCGGGCATGTTAACGAAGTAAGTTATCTTTCTTGCCAACAAAGTTTGTTAGCAAGGGAAAACTGTTCCATTGTGCGTGAAAGTGGGTGATAAAGTCTACTTGCCAGAATACGGTGGTACCAAAGTTGTTTTTGAGGACCAGGTGGGTGTGCTTCCTTCCATAATCGAGTTCTCCAGGAATATTTCCTCTTCCGCGAAAGTGATATCCTTGGCAAATTTTCCAAGTAACCCGTTTTATCCACACCGCTGTCCATAGCTTTTGTACAATGTCTTTAGTAAATTTATTTTAGTATGTCTTGTCACTGTCTCCTGTCTACATAACGTGCTTCCACTTAGCGTAGACTCCCCAGCGCTGTTTAAAGGTTGCGCTTAACCACTGGCTAAGGTCTGTTTGTGCGTCTTCGTCGGGTAATGCGCATGGCACCGCTCGGCAAAGTTAATGCTGCCAGTACATGCTATGAATTAAACCGCGCCATGTTATTCTATCTTGTGTTTCCACGAATCTCTTCCGAGTATGCAGCTTCGACAGTCACCTGCTTCCAGCGGTTCGCTTGGGACTTGCTTGTACCAGTTCTGGAATTGGTAACGTTGCAGCTGCGACTCGGGCGTTTGTTTAACGCCGACTCATTTTTTGCGCATCCATCGTTCTCTAGGTATACCACCAAATGGGCTCAGTAAGTCGACGCTTCTTCATCTACGACGTCATTCCTGAGATTCACATAATTCGGAGGAATCTGCCTCCGTCGCTTTTCCTCTGTAGTGTCTGCTTGATACCCGTCTAAGCGCCTAAGATCGCTCTGGATATTCCAATGTAAGAAGGCTGTGTTTATTAGTCGCTTTTTACATGATAAGGGGCCCTGAACCCGCAAGGGCCGTTAAGTTCGTTGGGAACGTGCAGGCTTCCCCGACCGGGTTTGGTCGTATGGATTGCCTCGCCTGCCGCTCCTGTGGCTCCGTTTGGTGCTCGCCGGTAGTCGTTGGCCCCCATGACGTGCGCTGTTGTGCTAACGTGTCTCCTGGAGCGCTACAGGTTTTGAACCATCCTAGTGCGTCTAGGCCGGCACACCGAGCATGTGACCGCACGGTAGATGCTTAAATCACCATAGGGCTCGTTATAGTGTGCCAGTTATCGAGGCCTAACGGGACGTTTGGTGTTTTGTACCGCTTCAGCGATTGTTACGCGACTCCTGTGGACGTCCTGCTCCGGCTCCTACCCCCAGTTGAACTAAATTGGTTTGCCCACGTGTAATGAAGTGTGTTGATACGTGCATCGCAGTCGCCGGGGCAACTGCAGGTTGTCTGTGCGCGGCGGCAGTCTGACAGACATGCACGTTGCGGGAACAGATGCGTAAAGATCCGTGGCCAGTATTACAAACCAGGGGGTGACAGCTGGTAATTCCAAGGTAGGGGCTGGGTCTCACCACTGCTGCATCCGTTCCTGCTGACGGCGGTGAGTACGCTCGCCACGACGTTTAGAGGTGCGGATAGGCCAGGGTATTCACCATTGTACATCTAAGTTGGACCAGGGGAGCGCCTTGTGTCGTTGCGGAGCCGGCACATTCAGCCGCATACTGGTTGCAATGGTGACGACGGTACGCTATTCGTAGTCGGCGATGGCTGTCATCACGGGTACAATCCAGGTAACGAGCACAGGACGTCAAGTATAGGCGTTAAGGGAGGTGGGAATGGGCTTTTGCCTCAGTTGACGGCAATCGCCGGACGTGGATTAGATGTGATTGGTCCGGACGTGGGGTTGTGCTGGACAGCCGAGCGAAGTAACGAACGGCTGGGGCTGGTGGCAGACGATGCCAAATCCAAAATGCCATCCACTGTGTCTCACGTTGGAGTTAGACACCCTGGCCGGTAGAAGGGCCGGCGTGTTTAGCGCACTGACGTTCATCATCCCGAAGTCATGTCATTTCTGTCGATGTCCAAGAATGCCAATGTCTGGGTTTCATCGACATTGGGAGTCCTGCAATGCTCAATAATTTAGTCCGTGAGAACCAGTCAGAATCTATGGTTTGCGGCTCGAGACCCGAAAGTTGGTTGCTGCGAAGAAAGTTGGGTGATCACAGGCCTCAGTAAGGGTAAACAGTCACAGACTGCGCCTGTATCTGGTGATGGGTTCGAGTGGGAACCCGAAACGTCTGGCCGACCAATTTCTCGTTCCAGTGATCGAGCCATCGTCTTCGGGTAAACAGTTGTCTTTGCCACTATTCTGGTAGCACGGTTGCTGTATGCCGACGAAGGTTGGACATTACCAGAAAATAATCTGCACCGATCGTGGGGTTAGGTCTCAACAATGTCAACCCTAACGGTCAGTCCTGTTGCTCTGCTTTCGAAAAATTTCCTCATACGCGCGGTCTTGCCAACGTATGTGGTCTACAATGATTACTGTAAAATCCGAGGCTACAGCTGCAGTTGTTTCTCAGCCGTTTGTTAGATGTTCAACATGGGAGCGGACGTCCAAATGTGAAGTTTTCCTTGATTGCCAGTTGACATTACCCTCGTTAGGCGCTGGTTGGTGTTGTCTCGGGAGATATAATAAGCGTTCGAGAATGCGACAGAGGCCGCTTTCTGCTGTCAAGGCGGGCCTACTAGCGAGGACAGTCTTGTCGAAGGTCAGCATCTACAGCTAGGCGCCTGCCCTGGTACTGGTCTCCGAACTCGACTAGATCACACTAGGCCACACGGTGAAGTGCACTTCGCGACTTGACAACTTGCTTCCACGAGGTGTCGGCCGACCCTGGCGAAAAGGCAGATGATACCGCCTTTGTTGCTGATGGCGCGACCCCTCCCTATGGGCTGTCGTGGGATACTCCCTCTAAGAGGAATAATTCAGTATCCACACTAACAAGGTACCCAGAGGTCACACCATTATTGTGGGAGTTTGCATGTCTTCTGTCAGCGAGCCCCCTCCGTGTGGTTAAGTCGTACTATCAGTCGTCCGGGGCTCGGCCGTCTTGCCTACCTATCTTCAGCGGGAGGGGTATGATAACGATCTAGACATGTCTCTTCATAACCGCGGCAGTCGAATAACTTATGCGCGTATCCTTGTTCACAACGGCCTCCCCAGTCACTCTGAAATTCTACGAGACACTAGGCGAGTACGCCTCCTTGTATTCCTAGAGGAGTCGGGCGGGGATGGCATCGTTCTGTCACCGTGTGCAGACTGCTTACAGACTGTAGTCATACAAACCGGTTTGTTGACAAACTGTCTGTTTTATCCAACTTCGGCTGCATGTGTGACCTGCAGATGAGGTGGACTGTGGTGTCCTCCGACTGACGGCTTATTGGTACCGTATTCTCTCCCCTTCCACCCTCGGATTTGTTGCCGTCGCCCGTCGTTGCACTGGTCATTTTGTTTGCCTCGGGGTCCAGACAGCCTGCAATTGATCGACTGACCTTAGCTGAAACACTCGTGCATCCAATCAGTCCGAGCCGTCTAGGCCCGCTCACTCGAACACCCCTACCGCTGGCTATTGCAACATATGCCACTAGCACATCGTCGTGGCCGACGATGTTCACCGTGTGCTCCACAGTGGGGTGGAAGCGAGCGCGATGAGTTACACGTGGTTTCTTTTATAGTGGCAGCAGATTTGCACAGCATCTGCCGCACTCTCTCCCCCACCCGAGCTCGGGGTCAAGACATAGTCAAGAAGACCGGAGGCGGGCAAGTGTGCGGGTGGCTGGCACGGCGAATGAGCCCGCACCACCTAGTCCACTACAAAACATTTGACCAGGATTTTAGCCAATGAAAGTGGAGTAGGGGTGACTGCAGGGATCCCAGTTGGCGCCACGCGAGCCGGCAACTGGGTCTGCCACCGCACCCCGAATGTTGGCATTTGTTATGAATATGCTCCGTCGATAGTGCCTGCTATGGATGTAAGATTTGTGGGATGTGCAAGGTGCGCTTGACGCGTCGGTACTGCGGCGGTCTCCGTTGTCGTAGGTGCACATTTGACTGAATAGGCCCATGCTGTGAGTGAATATGTGGGAAGAATGCGGACGTTGGACTTATAATGAACCGGTCGCGGGATCAAGCCCCAGGGATTGCGAAAACTGAGGTTTGGATGACTGGTTGATGACGGCTAATAAACCAGAAATGGCCGTCCCGGTCTCCCTTGTCTTTGTCGGTGATGTTGCTTTGCCTAAATGCACTACGAGCCGCTGTGCGGCTGCTGGTGACGTACAAAGCGGACTAGCGATCGGCGAGAGCCCCTCAACCATTGTTAATATATCCGATCGCAACCGACATGACAACGAGCCCGTGGCTCAGAGGTTAGGGCTTTGGACCTCTAACCAACAGGTCGCGAGATGGAGCCCGAGGGGTTACACACACTTCCTGGTTGGGTGTGGTTGGCTCACGACGCCTAACAATCCAGAAATGGCAAATCCGGTCTCCTTTGTCTTTGCCGGTGACGTTGTTTTGCAAATGCGGCCAGTTGGGACGAGTGCGACAGGTGTATGTGGGGACTCCCAGCTGTTGCGCCGGCCACATTGCGGTGGATTTGTAAGTAGCCGACCAGGCCAATGCGTGAGGCTAAGGTGCGGTGGAATTGGGGACAGGGTGGGATCGAGTTCGCATTCCTGGTGGTGGTTTTGGTGGCGAGCGTGACGATCGACGAAGACAGCGAAAAGCAGTGGATATGTGAGTCACGCGTCCACCACGTTCTCCTCTAGATCTTACGATAAACCGGAAATGAAGTCTGCTTAAAATGCACTTATCAGGATATGTAAATTGGAGTAAACCGGATCGAAACCTGAGAAGTCAGCTGGCATTTCGGTAGAAGGAGTTATGTAAAGTAGGCACTAGTGATAGTTGTGAATTTAGTTGAAATCGTTTACACACACGGCCATTGACCAAGACAAAGGCGGAATTATCAACGAAAGCATCAAAAAAGAGCCCAAGAAATCACTAAAAATCCCAAAAAGGCAAATTCTAAATTTGAAGGAAGATTAAAATATCGGCCGGCACGGTTAACAGCTACAGTGCGTAACCGATCTCATGAAATATTGGCCGAAATTCTGAAATGTTCTCAATTAGGAAGGATTACTTGGGCGCGGTTGTAATACTGATTATCATGCAGCATAATGCTATAATATTTCGGACTTGGCAAGATGTCAGCTTTTGAATACATCGCTTTTCAATCTCCTCTAGGAACCGTACTCGGTGGAAAGTGACTACTTAAGTGGCATGCATTTTTCACACTGGTTTTCGATGGTCT